GGGGGGGGGGGGGGGGTCCCGCCCCCCACGGCCATGTGCTCTCGGTGACAACACCCCCTTCCCTGCCCCTGAGGCACCGTGCCCTGGCCCAGCCTTGCCCTGCAGCTGTTGCTTTGGGGGTTTTCTCTCTGGGCGATGGGTCCAGCGGGAATGAGTGGCTTTGTCTTCCAGACAGTGGGCCGAGCCGGGGCAAGCTGCAGAGCCACCTCCTGCCTGGTCCCCACGGTGCTGCCACCGTCCCAGACACACTGCCGAGTGCTCGGCGGGCACCAGTGGAGGAGCAGGCAGGGTTTTGTTTTAACCAAGGTTTGAGCACCGCAGCCGAGCCGGCCCTGGAAAGGGTCTCGGTTGACATGGGGGAGCCCAGCAGGGGGTCACTGTACAGCCACCGTGCCTGGGTCTCCCCGTGTGACCTGGGGACCTTGGTTTTGAGGGCCTTCGTCCACTGCACGTGCCAAGCAGTGCCCTTGCCTGCCCTACCTCCAGCTTTGACACCCCCAAGCCCGCCCGCCCTGTGGTGGGGGGTCAGATATCCCAGGTCACAGGTGTGGTGGCCGAGGCCCTGAGAGGGAGTGACTCACCGAGGCCACTAGGAAGTCAGGCACAGTCTGGGGTGTCCCCACTTCTTCAAGAGGTGACCAGGCCTGGACTGACCAAGGAGCGTCAGGGACAACCTGCGTGCACTGGGGCACAGCCAGAGGTTGGGGTGACCCAGAACAGCCACACCCTCTGGACGCTGCACCCTGGCCACCCCCACCTCACCTGAGTCCATGGCCCAGGGGTGCGGGGGCCCGACCCTGTGAACCCCTGCCTGGCCTTTTGTTCCGGCCCCATTTTTTTCTCTCTGGCTTTGGCTCTGGGGGGGGTCCCTGCCTCAGTTTACCCTCGGGTCCTTAATTTCCCTCAAGAGCCCACCCAGCCCTTGGGCAGGAAGAAAGGCAGCCACTCCTGATATAGGGGGGGACAGCTCTTTGGCCCCTTGAAAAGCCGAGAGTGGGTGCTGAGGTCCAGGAGGTCTCAGTGGGGGCAGCAGAAGGGGATGGGTTGGCTCTGCCCAACGCAGGGCCTGGAGACCCCCCAGGAGCTTCTCGGCCCCGTTAGAGAGATGTGGACGGGCACAGGCCAAGAGGCAGAGGAGGAGACCCACTTGGTGGCCCGTGGGAAGGTGCCCGCCCGCCCACCTACAGGGGCCCTGGCTGCTGGCTCCTCCCGTGCCTCAGTTTCCCGTCTGGGAGGACGGTTTACCCCACGCTCACCCTGGTTTTGGGTGAGACTCCTGATTAGTCGCTTTGCTATTAATGCCTCATGACTTGGTGATCGCCGCATTGGAGCTAGTTAGTGGCAGGCCGGGTGGTCGCCAGAGGGGGCTGCAGGGTGTGGCGGGGTGGTCTTCGGAGGGCAGGACAGGGAGCCCTGGTGGGTGAGGATCCCCCCGGGTCAGGAGGGCTGCCTGGAGGAATGGACGTTGGCACCTGGCCGGCAGGATGGACCAGCGTGGGGTGAAGGTGTGGCCGGGGGAGGGAACAGGCCTTCCCTCCCTCTGTCTGGGAAAAGATCTTGAATCAGTCATTAACCCCTTCGTGAGAATTGCGATCTCTATCTGCCTCTCCCACGGAGGGAGCGTCTGCGTTGCCAGGCTTCTGTGGCACTGTGGAGAAAATGAAGGCTTTGTCTCGCTCTCACCAGGCTTGGTTCTGGGGTGGGGGTGTCTCCCCCCACGCAGGCGCCACCCTGAGCAGGGGCGAGGTGCCCGCCCCTGGCTCACCCGCCAACTTGGAACCGGGAATGCCAACGCAGCAAGGCCATCGCTATCTCAGAGACAGGAAGCAAACAAATGGCCCACTTAGGCGGCCAGAGCTCGGGCAGGGGTGGGGGGCTTCCCCCTTGACCTGCCTGTCTGGGGTCCCTGCCTCCCCTCACCTGGGGGCTGCTTTCCGCTCCCCATGACTCTAGCATCTCAAAGTCTTCAAACCTTAGGCCTTTTTAATTCACTTGTTCATCAACAAACATATATTGAGTGTCACTGTATACAGGGCCTGTGCTGGCCATGGGGAAAGGGGCAGAGAAGGTGGCCGACCCTCACGGTCCCCGGGAGGCAGACAGCAGACCATGTAAAGGTATAAACGTGATGACGTCGGGCTGAGATGCGGGCAGAGACCGGAAGAGCATTCAGGCGGCAGGAACAGCACGTTCAAAGGTCCTGGGGTGGGATCAGAGGCTGGTGCGGCTGGACAGGAGACAGCGCAGGGTAGACCAGGGCGATGGGGGTGTGCGTTTTATTCGGAGCAATGAGGTGCTCACGGGAGGGCTTTGAACAGCAGGTCGCAGGGTCTGATTTACATTCAGAAGAGCGAGCCTTGGATTTGGGGAGATCAGGAGCCTAGAGGCCCTTGCTGTGGCCTGGTGGGGCCTGAGCATCAGCCTCTGAGCAGGCAAAGTGGCCTCAGTCTCTGATGTTTTGCAAAAGACGAGATGGGGAGAGAGCACATGGCTGTGTTGGCTGCAGGAAGGAGTGGCTGCCGCTGCGGCCACCTGCCCACGCCCAGTCCCGCCTCCGGAAGGGTCCTGCCGAGCCAAGCTCTTTCAGGCTGAGTTGTGGATCACTGGGCATCACTGCAGGGACGGCAGGGGAAACTGAGGGCCAGGACAGGGGGTCTCCAGCCCAGATCCGCCCTCTACCCTGCCTGTGGCTCCCCCATTGCGGCCTCCCCTGCAGGGCCCTGCCTGGGTGTGGGTGGGTCCCAGGCAGGCTCTGGGCCGTGGCTGCATCGATCAGCTGATCAATGAGGCTTTCACTCTGGCGGGGAAGGAGCGAAATGACTTTTCAAAAAGCCTGGAGCGGCTTCTGCATCGATCGTGCCCAAGGGGCCGGAGTCCACGGCGGGTCAATGAGACTGTGTGCCCCGCCGGCCACTAAGCAACCCAAGGATGGGCTGGGTCCCAGGCTGTCCCTGTCTGAGCCTGTCCCAGGGCTGTTCTGCGTCTGTGCATCACCCACCGTGTACACACTCCAAGCTCTCCCCGCAGCCACGAGGATGGTCTTCCTGCATGGAGGGGAAGACGAGGCTTATAGGGGAGGATGAACCTGAGACGCAGCTGGGCTCCAGCCACGCTGTCCAGAGGCCCGAGACCAACCCCTGCAGGGGTTTCCTCGGCAGCGCGTCCTCCCTGCCTCTGTGCTGGGCTCCCAGGGAAGTGGGGGTGGCGTGAGCTCCCCATCCCTGGACGAATCCAACAGAGTGAGGAAGGGGCTGGTTGGTGAGTCCCCTCCCTCCAGCTCCTGCAATTCTTCCAGCTTCGACCCAGCCACAGGCTCTGGAAATCTTCGTGCTGGATCCCCAGTGAGCAGCGGGGAAACCAAGGCACGAGTGAGCAGGAGTTTCCTGCCCTCCTCCTCCACACCCCTGGGGACCCGGGACCCCTCAGCCCCGCCTGCTGCAGCGTCTCGGGGCAGTGGGGGGCCAGGCCGATGCCATCTGATAATCCGGCTGCCCCTCCCGCACCCGCTGTACCAATTAGTGCACCCGGCATGGGGGCCCGCGGCAGGCTCCCTCCTGCAGGCAGCGGTGGCGGCTGGCGCAGTGGGCACAGAGGCCCTGGCGGGGCTGGGGTGGGAGCAGCCTGTGCCCTCTCTGCTGCCGACCCTCACTGGGCCTCAGTTTCCCCGGCCTGTGCGGGAGGGAGGAGGCAGGAGCTGCGTGGGTGAGCCTGCCCGTCCCATCCATCCCTGCTCAGGCCTTTTATGTGCTAATCAGCCCCTCTCAGGGCCCCCCTTGCACCCCCCTCTGTCCGGGCCGCGTTTACGCGACAGGGACCCCGGGGACCACATCGTGGAGATCTAAGGGTTCCTGCGGCTGTAGCCCGAGGCAGAGATGGAGGGGGAGCTGCCGGTCCCTCCCTCAGCTGACCTCCATCCACGACAGACAAGGCTGGGTCAGGGGGGCTCCCCGGTGGAAGGAGCTCGCAGGCTGTGTGGGCACCTCCGGGGCAAAGCCTGGAAGGCAGGGCTAGGGGGAAACGAGGTGTCAGACGTGGAGGATCCTGGTGGGGTGCCCTGGAGGTTGGAGGAGCAGCTGCTGGATTCCGAGGCTCAGGAGGGAAGACTCAGTGTCAGGGTTCGAGATGCTCAGAGGGGGCAAGGGACCAGCTGGGTCATGCTGGACAGAAGGGGCGAGGCTGGGGGCCGAACCCAGGGCACCTCTGAGCTGGGCAGTGGGTGTAACCCTCAGTGGCTGCTCGGGGGAGCCGAGGTCCTTCACTCCAAGCCTCACCCCTACAGGGAAACTGAGGCTGGGATAAAGGTAGAGCTTGCCCCACAGGGACCCGGCACACCTGGCCAGTGTCCCCCACACTGCCCTGGTCCTCTTTGGCAGGTGGAGCTGGGGAAGGGTGTGGGCAGGGTGAGGGGCTGCCTGGAGGAGGAGGCGGCTCCTGCGGAGGCGCAGAGTCAGGACCCACGCCTGGCCTGTGTGTGCAGTGGGGTCCAGATGTCAGCCTGTCCGGGCGCGCCCCTGTTCCTCGGCCCTGCTGTGGTACAGCTGGGGACGCTGAGACCAGGGGGGTGCCAGGCAGGGGACTGTGGGCTCTGACCCTGGAGCTCTCCGTGCATGGGGTGTCCATCCCCGTCGCTGACCGCCCCTGCCCCGCAGGTTCCACGCGGGTGGCGCGGACGACGGCGGCGGCTACACGGTGGAGGTCAGCATCAACGACTACCTGGACATCTACTGCCCGCATTACGGGACGCCGCTGCCACCCGCCGAGCGCATGGAGCACTACGTGCTGTACATGGTCAACGGCGAGGGCCACGCGTCCTGCGACCACCGGCAGCGCGGCTTCAAGCGCTGGGAGTGCAACCGGCCCGCAGCGCCCGGGGGGCCGCTCAAGTTCTCCGAGAAGTTCCAGCTCTTCACGCCCTTCTCCCTGGGCTTCGAGTTCCGCCCGGGCCACGAGTATTACTACATCTGTGAGTGGCGGGCCCGGGGCGTGGGGTGGGGGCCGCGGGGCGCCGGGCGCCAAGTTCCCCGGTGGTCATCCGGAGAGCCCGGGAGGCCAAGACTGTCCGTCAGCATCCACCCTTCACACTTGGGGAAACTGAGGCTCAGAGCAGGGCTGAGGCCACACACACACACACACACACACAAGATCGTGACCTCAGCCTCCAGCTCAGACCACTCGGCCTCTGGGCTGGCCGAGCTGATGGACCCAACTGAGACCCGGGACGCCCACCCCCCGGTGCACTGAGGAGGGAAACTGAGGCATCCGGAGCCCAGCAGTGGAGGGGAGTGTGGCCAAACCCACCTTCTGTCCCAGCCTCACCCAGGACCGGGCAGGGGTCTCACGGGCCCTCCCCCAGCACCGCCGGGCTCCCAGCCTCCCCAGAAGGGTGGGCTGTTCGTTTCAAGGTTGGCGGGTGGCAGCCATGGGGACACCCAGGCTGGGCTGGGGGGAGGCTGTACCCGTCCCTGCTGCACCTTTGGGGTCCACGCTGGCCCTTTCCTCCCCGTAGAATGCCAGGGAAACGCAGCAGTCAGGCCCAGGTTCGAGTCCTGACTCGGCCACAACCTGGGCAGCCCCTTCCTCTCCATGAACTTGGCCAGGCATTGCCCACCCTGAGATGGGGGAACGGGGCAGCCCACCTTGGCTTCCGTGCCTCCGTCGTGGCGTGGGGGTCCGCATTTCTCAGCATCGCGGGCAGATGGGGAGCGGGGCCGCGAGGAGGAACCCGCCACCCGGCTTCCGCTGTGTCACATTAAACTTTACAAGTCCCCATTTCCTCCTTTCTCTGCTCTATTTGGATTGTTTCCTTTTAATTCAGGGAAGAAACGGTGGGGGAAGCCAGGAGAGGTGTTTAAATTAAGTCCCCGTAATATAAGAAAAATGACAGTTTTCTTTCTGAGACGGGAGTTTCATAAAGATAATGACTGTAATTATTCGTCCTATCTCTGTGACGGATGTTATTTTGGTTACGTGCTTTTTATCTTCATCTCCCAGCATGAGGGGCTTCTGGGGGGCGGGCAGAGGTGGCGGCTGCCGAGCGACAGGCCACCGGGGTCCCTGCGCCCGGCAGGGACAGCCCGACCGCGTCCCGTGTGGGGCCCACACGTGTCCCCCCGGCTCACGCGCGTGCACAGCCCAGCGGGCGTCGGGCCTCGCCCCCGCCGCCGACCCATCCTGACACCGCGGAAGCCCCTGCCTCCCGGGTGCCGCGTGGGCCAAGGAGCGGGCAGAATAACGGTGCAATCTCAGGCCTCAGAACCGAATGTGGTTTCTGTCTCCATGTGACCGGCAGCCTGGGTCCCTCCCAGATGGAAATCATCGTTTCCAGAGCACCTGCTGTGTGCCAGAGAGGAGGGGACTTGCCCACCGGCACCCAGAGCAGGGATCTGAACCTGGGTCAATTATGTGGCTGAATCCCTTTTTAAAATTAATTATTTTTTTACTTTTAACAAATGTATTTTTATTTATCACTTCCTAGCCTCACTCTGCTGCCCCTGGGTAACACAGGGCAGGACAAAGGCACAGACGTGCCAGGCTCTGGGCTCAGCGTTGGGCAGAGGGAGCGGCGGGGGCTGTGCAGGAAGACTGTCAGGAAACGGGGCATTGCATCTGGGGCTTTGACGTATGATTAGGAGTTTTATGGTGGATCCCCCCACCTTGGGTCAGGGCTGGGTCAGCAACGTGGGGAAGCGGGCTGCAGCCCCACATGCCTTGGATACCGAGACCCCCTGCCTCACCGACCCCCATCCCCTCTCTTCCAGCTTCCACACCACCCAATGCCGTGGACCGGCCCTGCCTGCGGCTGAAAGTTTACGTGCGGCCGACCAGTAAGTGCTCAGGGGATGGGCAGGATGTAGGCCCCCACCCCTGTGTCCTAAACCCACAGAACAAGGAGCGGTCAGAAGACCAGGGGGCAGGTGTGGTCACAGCACAGCCTCGGAAGCCCCACAGCTTCAGCCCTGCCCCCAGCCTCAGTTTCCACATCTGCAAACATTTCAGACCTTTCAGAGAGAAAGCAGAAGTCCTTTGCCCGGAGAGTGGGCATCAGAGAAGTCCTCAGGAGGGACCAGAGGGTCTTGTGTTCTGCGCCCTTGAGACATCACGGTCACAGCCTGAGAGAAGTGGGGGACTCCCAGCAGCTTAGGGACCACGCCCAGCACCAAGCACACGTTTATTGGGGGCCTACTGTTTGCCACGCTCTGTGCTTGGAGGCTCAGCCCCGACTGGCACCCAATACCATTTAGTTGAGATGTTTAAGGACTTCGGGTCGCTATCAGGGAGCCAGGCAAGGGGTGGGGCCACCACACTAGGGAGGAGGGGACATGGGATCCGGGACCCGCCTGGGCAGCGAGTGGCCCTCTGAGAACCTGCTTGGTGGGGTGGGGAGCCCATTGCACAGATGTGCATGCTGAGGCCAGGCGCACCTGGGGATCCCAGGAGGGGTCTGCACCACCCACTCACCCTCCTGCCTCTGTGTCCCCCCGAGATGAGACCCTGTACGAAGCCCCTGAGCCCATCTTCACCAGCAATAACTCATGCAGCAGCCTGGGCAGCGGCCACCTCTTCCTCAGCACCGTCCCCGTACTCTGGACACTCCTGGGCTCCTAGTCCTGGCCCTGGGACGCCGGCCCCACCGGGACAGCCGCACCTAGACTGCCTGACCTCGGCCTTCAGGATCCGGCCACGGTCCCCACGCCTCCGAGACCAAATAGAGACGCTGCTCCTTTCTCCACTGGTGCTGCCCCGCCGGGCAGGGGGCTGTCCACCCGCCCCTGTGCAGGCCCCAGGGAGGGACAGCCGAGGGGCCCCCATGCCCAAGGGGCTTCCGGGCCTAGCCATCTCCTCCAGGGGCGCCGGGAACCCGAGAACCTCTCGGCAATTTTATTTTTTCTTAGTGTATTTTTCACGGTTGGAACAGAAAAGACTTGAGTTTTTAATTTAATTTATTCCCTGCGGTTGCTGGTGACTTTGGGAAGGAAACAGAATGGATGGGGGGGGTGGGGTCGCCGACACCTGGTGTAGCCGCTTCTCTCTGCTCTGCACCCCACTGGTCGGGTCCGGCTGGAACCCACCGAGGGCCCCCCAGAGACCCCAACACAGGCGAGAGGGAGCCCAATGGGGCGAATGGTGAGTGTCCCTGAGTGCTCCAGGAGACCCTGCAGCCCCACCTCTGGCGGCCACCACCGTCGAGTCCCTTCCCCCCTCCATAGAAACCGCTTCCACCAGTGCAGAGGCGCCCCCCGCCCCAGCCTCTCCCAGGCTGCGAAGACGTTATATTCCTGTAAATAGAGCCAGCAAGTACTTACTGTGCTTTATTTTTCCTGTATTCCTGAGGACGGACCGGAACGTTCTCTCTCTGCTCAGCCCTGTTGGGTCTTTTATTTTGGCGGGGGGGGTGGGTGGACATTTTAGGGTAGAGGCTGCATTTTGCAATAAGCTCGTTTCGTCTGTCGGAGCCCCCCACCTGCCCCCCAACTCCGTGACCCAATAACGTTTCTAAGGAAAAAAAAAAAAAAAGGACAAAATAAAGAGGGCGGGAAGGAACCACTACCAAAAAGAAAGGAAACCTCTCCCCGAAGACACTTGAAGGAATGAGACATTGCATTTATACAGATTTCATATTTCTGCCCGCCTTTCCTGACTCTGTGTTTTATAGATATGATATATAAATATATATTGTGTACGGCCGCCAGGAGGTGGCTCGAGGCGCCCCCGGCGGTGTGGGTGGGCGGGGGGCTTTTGTAGGGGTCGGCGGGGTGGGCGGCGTTGCCACGCCTGGAGCTGGCGACCGGGCCTCCCCTCCTTCCATCACAATCAACTTTGGATTCTGTATTTTTTTATAATAAAATGAGCATAAACCTCAAAAGGCGTGGGTCTGGGGCCACGCACGTGCGGCAGGAGAGCGCTACGCTGAGAATTTGGAGGTGGGTCTGGAGTCGGCCTGGAGAGGGGGCGTCTTGGAGGAACGTTGGGGGCCCAGGGCCCGCGGAGAACCTGCAATTCATGGTTTCATGCGTCGTTTTGAGGCCAGGCCTTGGAACTAGCTTTTATGGGGCACCATGTTCTTCATAACCATCATGGGTCTCAGTTTCCCCCTCTGGGCCATGGGAACAACCTCCCTCCCCCCTGGGGCAGCCAGGAGGATGGGGGACAGAAACAGGGCTGTGGTGGCCAGGTCTGAGTACACGGCAGGTGCTTATAAGTGGCCATTACCTGGTAGACCTGAGCAAGGCAGAATCCCTGGGGCCCAGGGCTGGCTGACGCCACCACCCCTCGTCCGTGTTTGGAGTGCAGGGGGGCTCAGGATCCAGGGTGGATCTCGGATCCAATCAGATTCTGTGACATCTCCTTTGCCAAGCTCCACTGATGCGTGACTCAGTTTCCCCATGTGCCCCAGGCCAAGGTGGGGGTGGTCTGTCATCTCTGAATCCCCTTTTGGCTTTGCAAAAGGCATGTCTGTAGATTCTGGGGTCCCAGGGGCCTTCACCCCAGCCAAGCCCCCAGATGGAGGGTACTGATGCACGGAGAGGCTGGGGGTTACCCGTCTGAGGGACAGGGGTCCTCGCAACCGCGCGTCAGCTGCATCCCACCCGCCGTGACTGCAGCGTCTTGGGCACAATTAGCCGAGAGGGAACGCTGTCAGCTAATTAATTCAGCTGTGCTGGGCCCAGCGACAGGGGCTGCTTCCTAATGAGGCCCGTGAGCCACACAAAGACCCTTGTGTGTGCCCACCCTGCCCCTGCCTGGCGTGGGTGGACGGATGGACGGGCGCCCACCCGTGCTGAGCACCACAGGGGGAGGCCCTGGGGATCCCCCACACCCCAGAGGAGGATCCCGAGGCTCAGAGAGGGAGGGGGGTGACCTCCCCAAGTCCACCTACCCCCAGCCCCCCACACACGAGCTCTCCAACCTGGCCACGGGGACGGAGTCTTAGCTGCGGACTTTGGTGTTACTATTAAAAACGTGACAGGTTTATTGAGATATAATTCACATGGAACAATATCCATCCACTTAAAGTACAATTGCGGGGATTTTAGCACATTCACAGACTTGTGCAAGCACCACCTCTAGTTCCAGAACATTCCATCACCCCAAAAAGAAACCCCATCTTCATCAGCGGTCACTCCCCATCCCCTCCCCCAGCCCCTGGCAACCACGAATCCACTTTCTGTCTCTGTGGATCAGCCTGTTCTGGACATTTCATGTAAATGGAGTCAGACACTGTGTGGCCTTGTGTGTCTGGCGTCTGTCACAGAGTGTGATGTGTTCAAGGTCCATCCATGTGGCAGCGTGTGTCAGAGCCTCGTTCCTGTTTGTGGCTGAGTGATGTCCCACTGTGTGGATGGACTGCGCTATGTGTATCCCTTCACCTGCTGATGGACACTTGGGCTGTTTCCACCTTTTTGCTGTTATGACAATTTTATTGTTTTTGAGACAAAGTTGTAACACAAAAGGTGACTTCGAATGGATCAACACAAAGACAGTAGTTTTGTTCCACCTCGGGGCCTTTGCACATGCTGTTCCTCCTGCCTGGGAAGTCCTTTCCACAGATCGCCACTCGGCGCTGTCCCTCAGCACCTTGAGATTCAGGTCAGACACCACCTTTTGACCTCCCCAGCCAAGGGGCTCCTCCCAGTACAATCTCGCTGTCAGGCCCCTTGTCTGTCACAACCATGAGCTTGGAGCCCCCAAAGGGCAGAGGCCAGACCTGTCTTGGTCATCATCGGGATGAGTGCCTGGCCCACAGTAGGGAGTCTCCCTGGAGCCTGTCACCAGCCACATGCACAGACAGGTGCATACACGTGTGCACAGCCCTGGGCCTGCACCTGCAGCTGTGTGCACCCCCACCCCCCGTGAAGCCAGACACATGCATTTTAGGCCTGGGTCTCTCAGTAACTTCCCCCTGTCCCCTCACCAGCCACCAGTTGCTGCCTCGGGGACCACCACCCTGCAGGGTGTGGGGACCTCTAGGCACAACTAGTGACCCCACAGCCCCGCCCCAGCTGCAGCGAGACCCTGACACCGGCTCCTGAAGGCCCTGGGGGTGGCCATCGGTATTCGGGTCCTGTGCAGAGTCTTTTCCGGCCGGGAAGTTCCAGAAGGAAGTGATTTCCCTCCTGCAGCTGGTTACTGCCGCCTCGGTGCCCCACTGCGGGCAGGGGGCCGGAGGAGGCTGGAGGGGGCAGGGGAGTCCTGAGGCTCCCCAGGACCCCGACAAAGATTGGGGGATGGAGCTCTGCCTCCCCTCTTAGACTCCCCAGGGTAGGGCTGTGTCTCCCCCTTCAGACTCTGGCCGTCTTGGTTTGGGGAACGTGTCCCCCAGTCCCAGGATGCACAGCCCCTCCGCCTGAGCCTCAGTGACCCTGTCTGCATCTGCACTTGAGGAAAAGCCCCCAGGCCCCCACCCTCTGGTCCAAACAGCCCGACTGCCGGAGGGGCCTCACCGCTCGCCCTCAGGTCTGGACAGGGACCACCTGCCTTGGGGGTCGGACAGTCCTGAGCTGGACAGGAGCCCCCATGGCTCCCCCATCTCAAGCAGCCTCCCCAGGCCTCCCGCTGACGTCCCCTTCTCCCTCGGGGACTCTCCGGGACACTCCTGCTCTCCAGCATTCCCACCTCCAGGCCTCGGTCCTGGCCCGTGCACGGCTCCCCCATCTCAAGCAGCCTCCCCAGGCCTCCCGCTGACGTCCCCTTCTCCCTCGGGGACACTCCGGGACACTCCTGCTCTCCAGCATTCCCACCTCCAGGCCTCGGTCCTGGCCCGTGCACGCTCGCCTGTGTCCCCTCGCGGCTGCACCCCCACTCCCCCAGTTTTCTTTTCCCTTTGGCATTTATTTATCACCTTAGGTATACCCTGTATTTCCTTCATTTATCTTGTTTCTCGTCCGTCTCCGCCATTAGACGGCCAGCTCCCAGCCGGCAGGGATTTTTGTCTGTCTTGGTCACTGCTGGTTCCCAGCACCTAGAGCAGACCTGGCACACAGTAGGCACTCAGTAAGTGCTCACCAAATGAACGAATGTTGTATAGATATTTACGCAGAAGCTATGTGATCAGAAAAGAGCATCAGCTCGGTTGGCCACAGTGCAGCCTTCCAACACTAAGGTCACATGTTCGGACCCCGTACCGGCCAGCCACCAAAAAGAAAGGGAGAGTATCAGACAAACACTGCATCTCCCGTGTCAATGTCAGCGTCCCTAGTGAGCACTCAGTGAGCACCTACTGTGTGCAGCCAGTGTGGGGCCTTCCCTGGGTCTGCGGTGTCAGGGTCAAGATGGTGGGGCCTGCCCCCATGGCCTCCGGGCTCTGCACTAGGGGACTTACAGGAGGAGGCTGAGGTGTCGGGGACCTGGTCCAGGCTGCAGGTGGCTGGGTGGCCACCGATGGACAGATACAGAGCGATTTCACAGCCAGGAGCCCCTGAGGAGCCATAAATCACCACAAGATGACACACAAGCTGGAAATTAAGTGGCCGCAGCCAGGCTGGTGTGGCTGCCAGGGATGACGCTGCCAGAGGAGGGACTGGCAGCCCCCAGCGTCCTCAGTTTCTCCTCTGGAGCTGCCAGGCTCCATGTGGTCTTCATGGTCGTAACGATATTGGTGATGACCATCAGGGTTGGAGGTGGGGTGGGCACAGACCCAGGGTCTGGGTCCGGGTGGACCAAGAAAGAGGAGCCTGGAAAAAGGATGCGTGGACTCGGTTTGGGGCTGCCCCGGAGAGGTGTCCAGGAG